ATGGGGTGGTGGGACCCCAAAACAACTCAGCTCCATGCAGAAGTGGGAGGAGGGAGACATCCACAAGGGCTCCAAACCTCCCCTCGCTACCCCTAAAGCCCCCCCCCCCAGGATGGGGGTCTAACCTGAGCACGAAAAAAAAGGTTGTTGTCCAGGGCAGGGCTGAGGCGCAAGTCCCCACTGTGGGGGTCCAGCAGCACCAGGTTGAGCTCGTTCCCCTGCTCGAAGGCATAGGTGAGGCTGTCGGAGACATCAGGGTCGTGAGCTGGGATGCGACCGATGACCCCCCCGGGGAAACTGCCCGAACGGTTGGTGATGTAGTTGTTGAAGAGGATCTCAAAGTTCTTGAGTTGGGGACTGTTGTCATTGGCGTCGCGAAGGCGGACGTGGACGGTGGCCCGGCTCACCAGGGGGGCCGAGGTGGCTTGGACCACCATGATGTACTCTGCCTTGGACTCGTAGTCCAGGTCGGCCAAGGCGGTGAGCTCACCAGAGAAGATATCCAACTGGAAGACCTCAGGGATGTTGCCCTCCACGATCTGGTACATGATTTGGGCATTGGTGCCCTCATCAGGGTCGGTGGCTGTGATCCGGGCCACCACCAGCCCAATGGGACTGTTCTCCTCCACAAAGATATCGAACTCATCCCGCTCAAAGACAGGAGGGTTGTCATTGACGTCCAGCACCATCACTTGGATCTCCACTGGCGTCCGCTTGGCTGGGACCCCCTTGTCGACAGCGAATGCCCGCAGGGAGTAGAGTGGCACATTCTCCCGGTCGAGGCGGCGCAAGGTGCGGACGATGCCTGAGGTGGACTCGATGATGAAGTCACCGTCGCCATCGTCACCCCCTTGGAAAGTGTAGAAGACCCTGCCATTGAGCCCCGAGTCGCGGTCAGTGGCAGAGACCTGGAGGACGCTGGTGAAGGTGGGCACGTCCTCATAGACGGAGCCCTGGTAGGAGTCGCGGAGGAACTGGGGGGCGTTGTCGTTGACATCGCTCACCAGGATCTCCAGGTAGGTGGTGTCAGACTTCTGCGGGATGCCGTTGTCACGTGCCGTGATGGCCAGGGTGTAGGACACCTGGTCCTCGTAGTCCAGCTCCATCTGGGTGGTGACGGCCCCTGTCTCGGCAGCGATGCGGAACTGGGGGATGCTGTCCTCCATCAGGTAGGTGATGCGGGCATTCTCCCCTGTGTCCTCATCCGTGGCGCTGATGACCACCACCGTGGTGCCCACCGGCCGGTCCTCGTTAACGTTGACAGTGTAGTGGGAGCTCTGGAAGACAGGTCGGTGGGTGTTGGCGTCGGTGACATTGATGACCACCTGGGCTGTGTCCTGGCGGGTGCCGTCGGAGGCAGCAATGGTGAGGAGGTACTGCCGCTCCAGCTTGTAGTCCAGAGGCAAGGCAAGGGAGATGAGCCCACCGCCGCTCTGGCTGGTGATGGAGAAGCGGTTGCGGGTGTTGCCGCTGGAGATCTGGTAGGTGATGACACTGTTGGCATCGCGGTCAACGGCAGAGACGGTGAGGACGCTGGTGCCCACTGCTGCGTCCTCGTTCAAGCGGGCACCGTACTCCCGTTGCGTGAACTCAGGGCTGTTGTCGTTGACATCCAGGACGGTGACGCTGATGCTGGCGGAGGAGGCCATGGGGGGGTTACCCTGGTCCTGCGCCTCCACCCCAAAGCTGTAGAAGTCCACCACCTCTCGGTCCAGCTCAGAAGCCACCACAATCCACCCGGTGCTGTTGTTTATGGCGAAGGGGAAACTGGCGCCAGTCTCCAGGAGGGTGTAGACCAGCCGGCCATTGTCACCCGAATCGGCATCGATGGCTTGAACGTGGATGACGGAGTAACCCACTGGCACGTTCTCCAGCACGGTGGCCTGGAAGGGCGTGCTGACGAAGATGGGGGCATTATCGTTGACATCCAACACCTGGACGGTGACCAAACCACTGATGTTGGAGAGGGGTGGGCGGCCGCCGTCCTGTGCCCGGATCCGTAGGGTGAACTCCTTGCTGACCTCGTAGTCCAAGGGGCTGACCACGTCCAGCACGCCCGTCTGAGCATCAATGTAGAAGTGGCCACGGGTGTTACCGCTGATGATGCTGTAGTGCACCAGGGCATTGCTGCCCTTGTCGCAGTCGGTGGCTGTCACACGCAGCACAGCTGAGTTGGGCGCCACATCCTCGGGGACCTGTGCCACGTAACGCTTCTCACTGAACTGTGGTGCATTGTCGTTGTCGTCCTCCACAGCAATGCGGACGGTGGCTGTGGCGCTGCGAGGTCCTGGCTCCTGGCCCTGATCCATGGCCTCCACCAACAGCTCGAAGGCCTCCACTGCCTCACGGTCCACGAGGCCACGGGTGCGGATGACGCCTGAGCGGGGATCGATCTCAAAGACCTCGTTGGTGCCACCGGCGTTGAGGAGTCGGTAGAGGACATTGGCGTTGGGACCGGCATCACCGTCAGTGGCCCGCACCGTCAGCACCTCGTAGCCCACCTCCAGGTTCTCCCGCACGCTCTCCCGGTACTCAGGCTGCTCGAAGGCTGGGTCATGGTCATTGGTGTCGCTCACTGTCACTGTCAACGTGGCCATGGAGCTGCGCCGGGGCGTCCCGTGGTCTGCTGCTGTCACCCGGAAGACGTGGGTGCTCTTGCTCTCACGGTCCAGGGTGGCGGTGGTGGTGATGGCACCAGTGACAGGGTCCATGGTGAAAAGGGCATCGGAGCGGCTGTCAAAGGGGCAGCCGGCCTGCCTCCCCCTCATCGGGGTCCACCGCTGTCACCCGTGTCACTGGCGTCCCAGCCGGCTGGTTCTCCCCCACTGAGGCCTGGTAGCTGGAGGGCTGGAACTGTGGTGCCGTGTTGGGGCTGCGGCGGGCGCTGGCGGGAGCTGCTGCGGCTCCTGGGGCTCCTGGTGGCCCCCGCGGTCAGGGTGTCCTCAACATCCCTGGTGCCCATTGTCTCCCCAATGCTACTGATGTCCCCGGGGACTTTCCCAGTGTCTCCATTACATCCAGTATCCCTGGTGTCTCTGGGGACTTTCCTGGTGCTCCTGCTGTTCCTGGGGACTTTCCCAGTCTCCCCAGCATGTCCAGTATCCCTGATG